AAAGTTGAACAGTGAATAAGGAAAACCGTAACAGAATTGATACTTTTGAGTTATGGTGTTAAAGAAGAATACTAAAGATGCCATGGGCTGCCAAAACAACCAACAGATCTGTGTTGGAAGAAGTGCTGCCAGAGTGCTCCTTGGAGGCGAGGATGTCCAAACTTCATCGCTCATACTTCGGACATATTATCAGGAGGGACCAGTCACTGGAAAGGATATCATGTTTGGTAAGGTGGAGGGTCAGAGAAAAAGAGGAAGACCCCCTGCGAGATTGACTGGCACAGTGACAGCATCAATGGGCTCAAGAGTGTCAAAAACTGTGAGGCTGGCCCAGTTCCGGGCAGTATTTCGTTCTGTTGTGTATAGAGTTGCTACGAGTTGGTACTGACTCAATGGCACGTAAAAACAACAACATGGGCAAAAAACTGAATGATGCAGGAAGCATCAAAAGATGGAGGGAATACAGAGTCACTGTACAAAAAAAATGGTAAATGTTCAACCGTATCAAGAGGTAGCACATGATCAAGAGCCAGTGATACTGACGGAAGAAGTCCAAGGTGCACTGAAACCACTGGCAAAAAACAAAGCACCGGGAACTGATGGAATACAAATGGAAATCTTTCAACAAACTGACGCAGCACTGGAGGCACTCACTCACTTATGTCAAGAAACTTGGAAGACAACTACCTGGCCAACTGACTGGAAGAGATCCATATTTGTGCCCATTTCAGAGAGGTGACCCAACAGAATGCAGAAATTATCAGACAGTATCATTGATATCGCATATAAGTAAAATCTTGCTAAAGTGAATACAAAAATGGCTGCAACCATACATTGACAGAACTTTCAGAGGTTCAAGCTTGATTCAGAAGAGGACATAGAATGAGGGATTATCACTGCTTGAGTCAGATGGATCTTGGCTGAAAGCAGAGAATACTAGAAAGATCTTTACCTGTGCTTTATTGACTATGCAAAGGCTTTCAGTTGTTTGCATCATGACAAAGTATGGACAACATTGCGAAGAAAGAGTATTATGGAACACTTAATTGTGCTCTTAAGGAACCTGTACATAGACCAAGAGGCAGTTATTAGAACAGAACAAGGGAACACCAAATGGTTTAAAGTTAAGAAAGGTGTGCAACAGGGTTGTATTCTTTCACCATACTTATTTAGTCTGTATGATGAACAAATAATCTGAGAAGCTGGATTTTATGAGGAAAACCGTAGCATCAAGATTAGAGGAAGACTTATTAACAACCTGCAATATATGCAGATGATACAAAGTGAAGAGGTCTTAAAATACTTACTGATGAAGATCAAAAATCACAGCCTTTAGTATGGGTTGTACCTCAGTGTAAAGAAACAAAACTCCTCACCACTGGACCAATAAACAACATCCATATAAATGTACAAAAAGATTGAAAGTGTCAAAGACTTCATTTTGCTTGAATCAACCATCTACACTCATGGAAGCAGCAGTCAAGAAATAAAACAATGTATTGCATTAGGCAAATCTGCTGCTTAAGACCGCTTTAAAGTGTTCAAGAGCAAAGATTATTAGCTTGAGGACTAAGGTGCACCTGATCCAAGTCAGTATTTACAATAACCTTATATGCGTGTGAAAGTTGGACTATGGATAAAGAAGGCAGCAGAAGAATTGATGCAATTTGAGTTACAGTGTTGGAGAAGAATACTGAAAGTACCATGGGCTGCCAAAAGAACAAACAGATCTCTGTTGTAAGAATTATAGCCAGACTGTTCCTTGGAAGCCAGGATCTCTCATACTTCGGACACACTGTCAGGAGGGGCCAGTCCCTGGAGAAGGCTATCACATGTTTGGTAAAGTGAAGGGTCAGAGAAAAAGAGGAAGACCCCCAGCGAGATGGACTGGCATAGTAGCGGCAGCAATAGCTCAGGTTTAGCAACAATTGTGAAGTTGGCACAGGACCGGGCAGCCTTTCATTCTGTTGTGCACAGGGTCACTATGAGTCGGTGCCAACTAGATGGCATATAACAAACAAAACAAATATTATACACATTTATTTTATACACGTTTATTTTAATATATACATATACTTCTACATGCATTTTAATGTAAATAAAAACCAAGTAAACATGCATATAAAATTAGTTAAGCCTGTAATTTCATTAATACACCTGCTCCTTATCATCAGACATTGCATATTTACAGTAGTGAAATTCTATTAGCTGACTGTTGAGCAGTATGACGTGTGGCTAGCAGTAACAGATGCCGGGTGTGAGGCAAGAGTAAAGCTGGCTGTGATGGATCAAGTGACATGTCAACTTGATTCTCCATGTAATTATGTAATGTGGCAGTGACGTAATGATGCAGTCAGCCTCTATTTTGTATAAGATGTGATCAGCCTCCATTTTCACAGAGCACCAGTTGTCACGGACTGACTGGCCTTTGAAACCTAACCATGTTAACAGTGAGGAGCAGGTACATTACTGTGTTAGCACTGCACTAAGGTAGGGACTTGGTAGGCAAATCCCACCTTCATTGCTAACTGCCTGGTAAGAATCAGCATAAATCCATAGGTTTCCTTTATGTTAGCAGCCAAGCTTTTAACCAGGGCTCCTTTTCTTGCTTGCAAGCATTTACCAAGTCTTTTATGGGCCAAAAATTTTTGAAGACACTAATTTAAAAGAAAATTTACAAATTTTCATAGGAAGGCTCTACTGTTAGTTTGAGGAAAAGTGTTAAAATATGTAAGGTAAAAAAACAAGATAATCCTCATTAAATTATATATATGTGGTGGTGGCTATGTACCATGGAGTCAATCCTGACACATAGCGACCCTGTATAGGGTTTCCAAGGCTATAAATCCTTATGGGAGCAGAAAGCCTCATCTTTCTCCCACAGAACTGCTGACCTTGAGATTAGCAGTCCACCTCATAACCACTACGCTACCAGAGCGCATACACACACTCTCTCTCTCTCTCTAAACATATATATGTTGTTGTTGCTAAGTGCCAGCAAGTCAGTTCCGACTCACAGTGACCCTGTATAGGGTTTCTGAGGAGCGGCTGGTGAGTTTGAAATGCCGATCTTGCTTAGTAGTCCAGTGCTTATCCTACAGTACCACAACAGGACTCCATATATGTGTGTGTATGTATGTGTCTGTATGTCCATATATGTATATATGTATGTATGCTTTAATATAACTCAGGAGTCCTGGTGTGGCACCAAAGGATAAGCATTCAACCTCAAGGTCGGTTTGAACCACAAGGTCAACGGTTCAAATTAACTAGTCCCTCCTGTATAGGGACACTATGAGTTGGAACCGACTCGACGGCACTTAACAATATAACTCAGACCAAACTACTCCTGAGGCTTCGCATATACACAAAAAATGATGTAAACATGTGAACCAGATTTAGCCTAACAAGCTCTTCATAAGCACTGTCTCACATTCAGACCTTGATGCTCTGGCTCCAGTGTATTGGGAAAATCCTCAGGAGTATTACTGAAGCCCTACCAACAAGCTTATGGCGTTTTTGTGAGATGTCCGCCTACCCTCTGCGTTAAGGAGCCGTGCAGCAAGCATGATCTTAAGAGCACAGAAAAAGTGAAAGGCGTCTCGGGAGGAACACACACTACAATGTACAACTGGAGAGGTTCTGACTGACCAAGAAGGAGCCTGACCTTTTCTTTTCCAGCTCCTTAGGCCAAGAATGCTTTGTTTGACTAATCAAATCAAAAGTAGCACAGAACACCCAGGAAACATCAAGGCAAGTGGTCAGGTCCCCTCAGTGCAAATCCCCTTCCAAGACTAAGACTCAATGGGAATACACGCTGTGATTGGTGACCACGCTCGACACCGATAAGGGGAAGTGAGGGAAAAACAGCAATGAAACGGTGATATAAGCCCTACAACGTTCGATAGACTTCTGTGAACCCAGGTGAAGACCTGGTTGGCCAGCAGTGTGGCAAGACCTGGGGACTCTTTGGGCCCAGAGTCAGTGACATAGCCACAAAGGACTAGAGTGGAGAGTGAAGCGTCCAGCTGATAAGAAGAAAGGGCATATGCATAAGAACACCCATACTTGCAGATAATACCCACTTATCCTGGCTTCAGTGACTGGATAATCAGAGCTCAACCAGAAGTAAAAAGAAGAGGGAAAAAAAAAAAAAGTATTTTGATGAACTTGACCTACACCTATAGACACAGTAGCTCAAAAGAGGGAATAAGTCCTTACAGCAAGAATCATTCCCACCCCCTCCACACACAGAGTAGACAGGGATGGGCAACTTGGACATTGGCTAACCAAAATGGGGGGCGGGCGGCTACAAAGGCAAGAAGTGACTAGCTTACAAGCTTTCAAGAGGGAACCTAGATCCAGAGGGCCTGGAGGAAAGTAGAATCTCCAGTGAGTAGTATTCAATCTGACTAGGCGGGGCTGATGCAATGAAATGCAGACAGGTCTCTTATGATACAATAGTGAATAATTGTTATCAGGACTGATTGTGAGGGTCGGAAAGGTAAAGGTAGCTGTTTTATAGCAAGGAGGGGAGTGATTAACTTTTCAGTCTAGGAGCAAAGGTCCCTAGGACCATCAAGGGAGAAGAGCAGAGAGCGGGACCCTACCCAGAGAAGCAGTGATGCCTGAAATGGAGCCAGAGATGATGACGTGGAGCGATGGAGCAGCTGGAGACTTTAGATCCAGAGAGGGAGAGCGACTGTGTGCTGAAGACCTGGGGGGTATGGGGGAAGGATTGCATGGAGGGGATTGTAACCATGGCAATGAGATGATATTCAATAGAATGAATGTAAAACTAATGTTCACCCATGTAAACTATCACATAATTCACAACAAAACATTTAAGGAAAAAAAAAAAAAAAAGTAGCACAGAACATGCACAATACTCTAGAGAAACTGAAGTTCAAGCCCTTGTCCCTGGAAGACATGTCACCATTTCCAAATGGATTTCATCCAAAGACAGAAAAACCACTAGCCCAGAAATATGCCCTTCCTACCTCCTGGGTGTGCTCTTTGTAGACTTGCAGAGGCCCTGTGGGTTTGGCAGTGTCCCAGAGCTGAAGGGAGCCATCACCACTGCAGGTGATGAGGACATGTTCATTGTTTTCACTCCAGGTCACATCAAACAAACCATCATTCCAATCAAAGCTACAGCAGGGAAATTAAAATACAAAGATTAACTTACATAGGCTACTGACAGAAAGAGTAATGAGCCTCATTTTAGTTTATCCATTTGTTAAGAGTTTATCAAATATTTTAACACACTATCTTACAAGATCTTCAAAACTAGGGAGACAATTAAGAGCAGGTGCTTGAAATAAATTCAGAGGTTAAAGGAATAGTCCTGGGTCCTACAGTTAGAAAGCTGCAGTGCTAGAATAAAACCAGGCTCCTGATTATAAATATGATACTACTTATATGAGGGCATGCCGCCATACCAGTGTGTTTACTGGCTTTTGTGGTTTATAGGACAGGTCGGCAAGAACTTAAAAATACTAACTGAGAATAATAATTGTAACTTTCCCCATAAATGGGTCACCTGAGCTATGAACAAGTAGCTTTTTTCGGAAGAAATTTCCTTTCCATTTTCTACCTTTGACTAACACTGAGGCAGGTCTTGGCGGTCTTAATGAGCTCAATATTCACATAGACAAAACAATCAAAGAAAAAAAGAAGGGCAAAATGGTCAGCTCACTCCTGAATGAATAAAGCAAAATGACATTGAGAAGACAGCAAAAATTGTCAGTGTCACCCAGTCCACTAACGAGTTCACATTTTTAGTAGGCTTAAATTTGATATATAGAAATGAATACTTAGAACAAAAAGTTTTAGAAAAGTCACACACATAATTTAATGGCAAAAAAAAGTTGTTCTATACAATGCAAATGCTCAATTCTCTTTTATATTAAAATTTAAACATTTATTCATCAACAAGATTTTTAAAATCTAATTCTACGAAGGCATTACTAGCTACAGTGAATATATAAAAATTTAATAATTAGAGCCACCTTACCTTCTGAAAAGCCTAAGCCCAGATTCATTTTGATCCACTACTAATAGGGTTCCACAGCCTAAAGAGGAAAAAATCATCATCAAGGCGATGCCATTAAACACTAAACTGCCCAGGGCCCATCTAAGGTCAAGAAACACTTAATTTGAGTATCACCGATTTATCCCAGAAGTTACAGGGAGCATGTCTACAAAAGAATCAGCATTGAACTCTCCGTTTTTTATCTTATCTTGTACTTCAATCATTAAATAATCATCATATCATCCCATCTTACAGTCCTAAAACAGCAGAGAGATATTTGTATGCCTCCTCTGTGGGTGAAGTTCCTGGGTGGTACAACTGGTTAACATGCATAATGAAAAATCAGCCACTGAAACCTTATGAAGCTGAGTTCTACTCTGACACAAAAGAGGCTGCCATGAGTTAAAACAGACTTGGTTTGATTTTTATTTTCTTTTAGTCTGTGGCTAGGGATCCTGCCAGGCACACAAACCTCCCAAGGAGGTGTTATCCCTATTTACAAACAAGAAACCTGAGGCTTAGAGATCCCAAGGACTGCTCCTACAAGGAAATCACCCTGCCTTGTCTCCATTTCTATCTTAACAACTATGAATGTGGAAAGAGCTGGTGAAATTTACCACATACTTCATGAGAACTCAGTTATCTACTAAAGACAAATTATTTTACTACAAGGACCAATGTGCGCTCTGGTAGCGTAGTGGTTACGAATCGGGCTGCGAACCTTAAGGTCAGCGGTTCGAAACTACCAGCTGCTCCACGGGAGAAAGATGAGGCTTTCTACTCCCGTAAAGATTTACACCCTTGGAAACCCTGTACAGGGTCGCTATGGGTTGGAACCGACTCGATGGCACTTAACAACAACAACAACAACATAATTAATTTTATTGATACTTGGAGTAACACACACACACAACTTTCCTATTAAAACATGACTTTTGTTTTTTACCAATTACTTACAATACGTTTTTTTAAAAAGGATTTGAAGTTATTTTTTAATAGATCCATGAGTCTTAAATACCTCAACGTAATTAATGGATATCTGTTGAAAATTTAAATACGCAAACATTAAGAATTAATAGTGACAATATCGAATACAATTATTTCTTTTTTCCTGCTGTAGGTCCCAAAAGAAAAAAATACTACTTACTTAAGAGGCCGCATTATGCAATAACTAGACTCCGCATGTAAACAATCGCCAGGTTATGAATGTTAAAAATACAATATAAGGAATGAACCCACGAGTTTCCATCTAACCCACGGCCAGAGACGAAGAACTTGAATCCCTGCCAATATGTGTATTCCTCCTGCGACAAGTAAAGGGGCAGAACTTCAAAAAGGCCAGGCAGGCACTTGTGGGAGACTCTCTGCACCGCACAGGAGCGCCCTTCTCAGCAAGCGCTGCCTGCACGTCGCGAGGTGCGCGAGCGCAGACTTGCGGGGCACGAGTATCAAACACTAGGGTGCGCTATGGCCGTTTTCCACTTGGGGGGATCCCGCTGCACTGGTCACTTTACTGTCTGCACGACGGAGGGCGTGTGTCGGCGGCGGAGTCGGTTCCGTCTTCACACGACTTAACACACCACAACCGGGAAAGAGACATTCTCGGTAGAACCACTCCCCACATCTGGGGAAACGGAGCCATCCTGCCTCTCTGCCTCCCCCTAGCGCTTATGTGCGGCACTCTCGGCTCCCGGCAGTGCTTTTCCACCACACACTCGGGTGGCTCGGCGGGACCTTCGTTTCCTCCGCCGCCGGCCCGGATCTCATGCACCCGGACTCCGCACAAACCGCGCAGCGCGGCCTTCCCTCCGCGCCCGGCCTCACCCGCAATGCCGTAGTGCTGGGCGGTGGCGCAGGCCAGGCGGCCTGGAAGGTACGGGGAGAACTCGGCCGCATAGCCGTGACGGCCGGGCACCCGGAACGTCCGGGCCACTCCGCCGTGCGCAGTGCTCATGCCGCTCAGCGGCTCCGAGCCTCTTCGTTCCGAGCCGCGGAATCCGTTTCCAGCCGGCGAATCGCCAAGTAAGTTAGAGTCCCAGGAAGAAAAGGCGGAAGTGAGCAACTCTAGAATTCAATTGGTCCTCTGGGGAGAGGGCAGTGATTCCGATAGAGACCATTTTTGTTTTGGGCAAGCTAACTACTGATTTGTGCTTCCTGTGGCCATCTGGACATCATTGGAGCGTGATTCTAGAGTTGGATGGTGGTTCCGAGAAGTTTGGGTTTTATCCGTTAGCCTCCACCGCGGGGATACCTAGTTTTTAATAATTCCTTGAGCTTCTAAAAGACTGACAGCTCAGAGAATTTGCCTTAAAATTACACAATGAAACAAGCTGCAGGAAACTAAAACCATGTGTGTTGTGTTAGTTGACTTCGATTCATAGCGACCCTGTGTAGGGTTTCCAAGGCTTTCAACCTTTTGCGGAAGCAGAGAGCCCCATCTTCTCCCATGGAGTAACTGTTGGGCTCGAACCGCCGACCTTGTGGTCTATATGTCGTGTTTTTCCGAAACTGTAAATCTTTATGGGAGAAGGAAGCATCATCTTTCTCCCGCTGGGAATAACTGGTGGATTGAACCGATGACTTCGGGGTTAGCAACCCAAAGCATAACCCACAACAACACCAGCACCCCTTACATACATTGTAAGAGTATAAAAAATGTTCAGTGCTCAGCTGCTGGGGCAAATTAAGCAAATCTAGAGTCCTGGTGTGGCGCTGTGGGTTAATGCGCCAGACTGCAAAGCTATTTGAACTGCAAGATCGGAAGTTCAAGCTCACCAGCTGCTCTTTGGAAACCCTATACAGGGTCGCTATGAGTCGGAACCGACTCGACAGCACTTCACAACAACAACAACAACACGGCTTATTAATCAATTCAAATGTTTACTAAGCATGTTGGTTCCCTGGTGTGGCGCTGTGGTGCAAAGTTGGGAGTTCAAATCCACCAGCTGCTCATTGGAAACCCTGTTCAGGGGTGGCTTTGAGTGTGTATAACCAACTCTATGGTACTATACAACATCAATAACAACAATATACTATGTTCACGTACCCATATGGAATTCATCTGTCTATCCAAGATACTTTTGAGGTGTTGTTAATAGTTAAGTCTGTCAGCAAGCACAAACCAAATTGTATGGTCAGTTTTACAAGAAACTAAGCACAGTTTTAGGCAGTAGGTATTCAAAAGCATTAAGATAAGACCCACTTCCCAAAGGAGACTAGAATCAGTAGAGAGAAGACATGGGATTACTTAAGTGCAGTCACACAATGACATGTTGTTGATAGTGCCATCGAGTCAGTTCTGAGGCTGCTGAGTTTTAACCATCAGCATTTCGATTCAAACAGACCTTGTGGTCCAGGGAATTAACCTGCAGCGCCACCCCAGGACTCCTATATAATATATATTGTTGTTTGACCCATAGCAACCCTGTATAGGGTTTCCAAGGAGCAGCTGGTGAGTTTGAACCACTGACCTTGCAGTTCAAACAGCTTTGCAGTCTGGCTCATTAAACCAGAGTGCCACACCAGGACTCCAATATAATATAAAGATGGGATTTGAAAGAAGAGGTTGGGAAAAGGCAGAAAAAACTTGAGAATGAATGTAAAGACCATGAAGGTGGCATGGTTAGTTTGTTCTCTCGTGTACCTCTAACATCTAAAACAGCACCTGGAAAATGCAGAAGAGCCTCTAATCTTCATTCTGTCAGGGTCACCAGATCACCCTGTGCAAGTCTGAATGGGCATGGGAATGTTCGTTTCCATGCCATAACTGGACCCAGACTTCATCGCCAATACTGGCATCCTGTGTGTCTAAACCAAAGCAAAATACCCAACCCCATTGCTGTTAAGTTGATTCATTCTGTTGTATATAGGCTCACTAGAATGGACTCAGTGGTAGCTAACAACAGAGTACAACTGCCCCCATAGGGTTTCCAAGGCTATAATCTTTACAAAAGCACACTGCAACATCTTACTCCCTCAAACAACCAAATGCTTTGCCACTTCGCCACCCGAAAAAAAAACATCCCCACTGGCCATCCCAGATTGCTCACTTTTCTATGCTGGAGAATGTTTCCTCTCTTCTTTGCTTCCTAATTGCCATCACATGTTCAACACTTGTCTTTCCTTTAAAGACACATAAAAAAATTTGTTCAATAGTTTTAGACTTTCACCAAAGATTGTGAGCAACTTCTGTGCCAGTTTGAGAGTTTGGCTACGAAATTGGGATGGGGAAGGGAAAAATAAGGAAACACAAATTAATACCTTAGTAAATTCTCCTACCATAATATTAATTGTTGTTAAGTGCCGTTGAGTCAGTTCTGACCCATAGCAACCCTGTATGGGGTTTCCGAGGAGAAGCTGGTGAGCTTGAACTGCCGACCTTTCAGTTCAAATGGCTTTGCAGTCTGGCACATTAACCCACAGCACCACACCAGGACTCCATAATATTAATGAGCAAGATCAAATTGGACATCAATCGATCATTCATAACAAATGAATCAATCTTAATAATAAATGACAATTACAAACATGAATGTGTAGAAATATACAGAATACTAGTTATATAGCTTCACTCCCCACCCCCCACCGCACCCTACACACAAGCGGTGAACTCTAACCATCCAATATGAACATGCAGGCAGTGTTGCCCGTATTCAAACACTTGAATCAGAATTTCCATGAATTCTTACTATAATGTAGATTTTTCAGTACACACAGGGCAAGGAAATATGTATTGTAGGAGGCAACTCTGGGTGAATCTCATATGCTGTCTATAGTTTGAGGACTTTTGGCCTAGTTCATGAAAAGAAGAAAAACTCGTTTGGGGAGGACTGCTCAGCACTGCCAATAGTCAACACTGGTGACTAAAGGGAGAATATGCTCCAGAGAAAGGAAGCTGAGATTCATAAAGAGTTTAAATAGAATTTCATCCCCAATTGTGAGGGTTCAAAAGCAGAACTTTTGCTTTTCATGCAGGAGATTCACTTATATTACTGGCCAACATACCTGGTGTGGCACTGTAGGATAAGCACTGGACTGCAAAGTCTGTTTGAACCATAAGGTCAGTGGTTCAAGCTCATCAGTCATTCCTTGGAAACACTGTACTTGAGATTTTTATGAGGCAGAACTGACTCGATGGCACTTAACAATAACAAAGGAGTACTTGTATGATGCTGTAGGATAACCACTAGACTGCTAATCACAAGGTCAGCAGTTCAAACTTACCAGCTGTTCCTTGGAAACCCTGTACAGAGGTTTTGTATTGGAACAAATTGATGGCACTGACCAAGAAGGATAATATCTTCCCACAAAATCCTGTTAGTTGTTGATGTTGTTAGCGGTTGTTCAGTTGGCCTTAATTCATGCCCAGTCCTGCACCATCCCCAAGACTGGTGATAGATAGAAGCTCTGTGATCCATGGGTTTTCCCATGTTGATTTTCAGAAGCAGATCGCCAAAGTTTATTTCCTAGTTTGTGTTAGTCTGGAAGCTCCACTGAAACCTGTTGATGATCGTAGCAACATGCAGGCCTCCACTAGCAAATGTTAGTGTGCATCAGGTGTGCTGGCGGGAACTGAGCCTAGGCCTTCCACATTTGTGAAGTGTCATCGAGTCAGTTCCAACTCATAGCAACCCTGGATAGGTTTTCTGAGGATCAGCTTGATGGGTTTAAACTATTGACCTGTGGTTAGCAGTCCAGTGCTTATCCTACAGCGCCGCACCAGGACTCTAATCTTCTTAGTTCCAGGGAGGGCTATGGTAACTACAATAAAGAAGTAATAAACATTACCAGGAGTGTGCAAAGCAACATCACGTGCTTCCCAATATTATGCACAGAGAAGAAAGCCATCTATCTGCGGTATTTCTTCCTAAAACTGTGCGACCTGAGGAATGTAGGTCATAAGGAGACATCACAGAAACTCAAAGTAACATTTCTATAAATAATTGGCCTGTTATCTTAACAAATGTCACAGTAGTAAGATAAGGGAAGAATGAAGATATGTTGCCAATTAAAGGACACTAAAGGAAGCTCTGGTAGCGTAGTGGTTACGAATCGGGCTGCGAACCTTAAGGTCAGCGGTTCGAAACTACCAGCCGCTCCGTGGGAGAAAGATGAGGCTTTCTACTCCCGTAAAGATTTACACCCTCGGAAACCCTATACAGGGTCGCTATGGGTCGGAACCGACTCGACGGCACTTAACAACAACAACAACAAAGGAACATGTGAAGTCCTGGTGTGGCGCTGTGGGTTAGTGCGCTGGACTGCAAGGTGGGTTTGAACCACAAAGTTGGTGGTTCGAGCTCACCAGCCACTCCTCAGAAACCCTATACAAGGTTGCTGTGAGTTAGAACTGACTTGACAGCACTGAACAACAACAAAGAGACATGTGTAACAAGTGACCTTGAATTGCATCATGGGGCTGAATCTTGTCATTTTCCATTTGCTATTAAGCACATGATAGAGAACAATAAGAAAAAGCTGAGTAAGGTCTGTAGATTAGTTAAAAAGTTTGTATCAATGTTACTGTTCTAATTTTAATCACTGTACTTTGCCTTTTTATGCATTCTTTTTTTTTTTTTAATGTTTACATGGGAGAACATTAGTTTTACATTCATCCTATTATACGTTGTTTCATTGCCATGGTTACAATCCCCTCCATGCATCATCAACCAACCAAAGGTTATACCCTGCAAGCCTATCCCCCCGGTCATCAGCACATAACCCCCTCTCCCTCTCTGGGTCTAAAGTCCCCAGCTGCTCCATCTCTCCAAGTCATCGTCTCTGCCTCCATCTCTGGTGTCACTGCTTCTCTGGATAGGGTTCCGTTCTCCACTCTTCTCCCTGATGGTCCCAGGGACCTCTGCTCCTAGACTGCAAAGTTAATCACTCCCCTCCTTGCTACAAAACATCTATCTATACATTTTCAACCCTCACAATCAGTTCTGATAACAATTATTCACTATTGTATCACAAGAGACCTATC